ATTGGATTTTAGACTAACATTATCTTATTGAATAAATATATTTATATCAATTTTTTTTTAATTTCTATCTCTAAGTAATTTTGTAATATTTAATTGTGACTTTGAGTTTTATGGATACTTAAAAATGACACTATATTTTATTAAAGTGACCTTAAATTCTGTGCAATAATAAAATAGTTTCTTAATTTTTCAAACATTATGAATTGATCCCTATATATCTAAAACTTACCCAATACGTGTTTATAACTTGTCCAACACTTGTCCAAAAGTTCATAATCATTTGGGTGTAGTAATTAAAATATTAAGAAAATCATAGGGTGGGCATGCGCCCCCCTAAACCTAAGCTACCTTCGCCCTTGGTTACAAAATGAGAATCTTTCTATGCTTGAAAAATCTTTGATATTTAATCCACTCTTGAGATACAAGCATGCACCATCCAACTTTTGTTATCAAGCAATTGAAGGCGAATTTTCAAGCACGACTCATTCAACTATTGAGGAAATACCACAATTGTTTTGGTATTTTGGAAAGCATCAATAACTTGTTTGCAAAATGTGGACTTGTTTTCAAAATAAATTAGATTGAAAAAAGATGAAAACACATACCAAACAACTTTTTTTTTTTAACAAAAAAAATAATAAAACAAGTCGTGACCAAACGCAATCTTAGAGGTCGTTTGGTAACGTTTTTATTTTTGCGTCTTTAAAAAAATAAAAAACAGAGACAATTTTTGTCTTTATTTGTGGTAAACACTAAAACAGAAAACATGTTTTAGAGTCATTTTTGTATATCAAATTATGAGAATAAAAACAAAAAACATATTTGGTAACTATTTCAAGTTTTATAATAAATATAAGTTGATTCTCATCTTCAAGGGCCATTGCTTAACAAAAAACCCATTTGTGACCCAATCACACATGGGCTTTCGAGCCTGTAACAACTTTCATACATACCCGATAATTTTCAATACAACACATACAAAACACACAGAATACACACATACACACACAGAGTCACACAGACACAAACATAAAACACACAGATCCATACAAAACACACAGAGAACACACATACTCTGCACACCCATTTTTTTTAAATGAAAAATGATAAACAGAGGGGGGTTTCTAATGGATTTGTACACACAAAATTTAGGGAAAAATGAGAAAAACAGAGGGTTGGTTCATCACAGATCTGCACACAAAAATTTTAGGGGAAAACGAAAAAAAATAAAGGGGTCCATATATATATATGTGTGTGTGTGTGTGTGTGTGTGTTACCTTTACATTCATAGATTTGACATATATTTGAATGGATCTAACATATATTTGAATGAATATACTTACCTTTCACCAAACTGGTCTCAAATCGATGGAGGACACACATATTACCTACAGATGGAGGATCGTCAGGAGATCTGTGATTGAAAGCCTTTTCATTGTCCCAACTATTGGGCTCACACCATCGTGGAGGAGGAGAGGGTCGCCGAGAGAGAGAGAGGAGAAGAGGGTCGTTGAGAGATAGAGAGGAGAAGAGCGTCGTTGAGAGAGAGAGGAGAAGAGAGTCGTTCACAGAGAGAGGGGGGAGAATGAATATAAAAAAGACCATACAATCCCCATATTTATAGTTCAACAAATGTTGTGGTATTTTTGTGGCTAACAAGAGTTGAAGTTGAGACGTCATTAAAATGTTAAACGCATGTTTTGTGTTTTGGGTGTTTCTTGGAACACAATTTTTTTGCTTCTATTTTTTTGTCTTTGTTCCCATTTTTTCCAAGACAACTAATTTATGAAGCACATATACTTTATTGAGGTCGACGTACCCGTATCGGATATAATACTCGTCGGATACTCGAGGATACGTATCGAATACATCTCCTACGTATCCAATAATAATTAAATATTAAGATACTTCACGGATACTTTTGTATTCAAGCAATATATATAATTTTTGAGTTGAATTTTTAACATTTCCTTTCAAATTCACATATCTATATAATAAAACAGGAGTGTGTTTGAATTTTATCCCATTCATATTTTCCCCCTCAAAACCATTACCAATCACTTACCTCACCCATCATCCATTTGTTAGACTCAAACGTCAAATTGCATCACTTATTTCTATCATATGTTTAATCATTTATATATTTCTTCCCTAAAAATATCACATCACTCATTTCTAGCATATATTTAATTATTTAATATTTGATTAATTTGTAGTTAATATATTTTAAAAAAAATTAATATAATGAGATCGATTTTTTGAACGCTCGAATTTTATATTTTATCGTGTCTTTAGGCACGAGTTATGACTAGTCATACAATACATTAAAAAAAAAATTATATTACTTCAAAGATAATATAAATCTACTACGTTATAATCTGAACAAAAATTACTTCTAAATAAACTCGACTCGATAAATATTAGTTTTGATTCCTTTAATTTATCATTTCACTTTGTGAATATACCATAGTGATACGATAAATATTTTTTTTAAACTAAAAAGAGTTACTAATGTTTCTTATTGTATTAAAGAATTACCAAAATATATAAGTATTAAGTTGGTTTAAAATAATAAAAATAATAAATATATTTTATTATAGTCGTATTTTGACCATACCAATATTCTATTTTTTTAGATTTTGTCATATCACCATATTCATATAGTGTCGTACCCGTATTTGTATTTATATTCGTATTCTGTATTTGTATTTGTTCTTCATAGCAACTAGTATAAAATAAAAATAAAAATAATACCTAAACATATTTTTATTTTTATTTTTGACAAAAATTAAAAATAAAATCACAAAATACAAGACAAGATAAACAAACAGCTCCTAATTTTTAAATTTTTGACAACATTTTTGTTTTTCTTAATTTTTGTCGTAAATGAGAAAGTTCCCCCATATGTTACCCTTCGCGGAATCTCGCTGTCACCCCTCCGCCCTCTCCCCTCTCTCTCACACACACACACACACACACCCACCCCCACTCACCCACCCACAAACACAGACACACGGGAGTAAAGTCCACCACGAAGAATGACAACAAAACCAGCTCTTTAGGGTTTTCATTCAAGTCGCTGTTAAGGTAGAGTCTCCAAATTTTGTAACTTAACTCGGTTAATCTGTTTTAAAATACCTACTTCATCACTCGATTTACTGTGATTGAGGTTTGCTTTAAGAATGGCGAACTCTTCGAATGAAGAGCAAGATCAAAGGTATTTATCATTCTGGTTTAGAGAATTTCTTGTCTGCAAAGCCGAAATCAATTGTTTATCGTCGTTTTTGTCTTTTCTATTACGATTGATTTGAAATTTATTTATTTCAAGAAAACCCCATTACCAAATAGGGTAATTCAGTTCTTGGGAGACATGTATTGTCTGTTTGGTAGCCGAGAAAACGTAGGAAAATGTTAGAGCAAGTAAGATTTTGGGATCATTTGGTTTAGTGTTTTTCTTTCTACGAATGAAATGGAAAAGTCGAGGCATTTTTTACTAGACTTCAGTTGAGTTTTTGCTTTGTCGGATCCATAGCGGTGATAAACCTCCTGATTCTACAATTTTTTTTTGTGTTTTGATCAGCAAATGACTGGTTACAAATAGTATGTTTTCTGTTGATAATTTGGAGTGAAATGTGAGGAAAAATAAAATTTTGAGATTATATGGTTTTATTGTGATTTCCGGATATAATGGAAAACTCAAGGCATTTGGACTGCTCTTAAATTCTGTCTTTTGTTTTACCTGTTCCTTAGCTGTGAGAATTCAATTATTAGTGAGTAGATATCATGACGTAGGCAAGCTAGAATGCACCCAGCCAATTGAAAGAAGAGAAGGAAGCATGGACGTGCGACAGTAAATCCATCATCTTGCTCTCAAAGTGAATCATACAAGGTACATATTGGTGGCACTTGCCTAAGACAGGTTTGAAGATATACTGTATTTGCTCTACACCAATAGACCTCACTAACATGTACTGCATTTGCAACAAGGTCTCTGTATTTGCAGGTGGTGTTTTATGCTTCATTGGATAAGCCGGAACAAATGAATTGTTTTCAACATGTCTATTACAAAAAATCTTAAATCATAATAGTTGTAGTCTCTAGTGATGTCAAATTGTTGGCTATTGTAGCACTTTTTCTGAGTGTTAAAACTAATTATACCATGGAAAACAAAGTGCAAGGAACAATTAGAATTTACTGCAATTCTTTGTAGCTATGCATGCTTACCGTCTTCTTAATTTGACTGAGGTTAAGAGTTGAAAGAAATAATATCTTGTAAAAATGTTTATCGTTTGGCCAATAGTATCCGATAACCAGTAACATCATATGGTCTTCCAATCATTTGTATGGTGGCTTCCAAACTAGCTTGAGCCCTCTTGTTTAAAGATAATTTGGGATTGGCTGTTTAAGTTTAATTTTATTTTGGTTGGGCTTACTATACTATTACTCAGTTTGAAATTAGTGGGAGTTGAAGTTTCACCTTGATTGGCTGATGTATTATTATAAAACAGTCTGCCTTGTCTATGATGTTGTTACTGATTCGAGGCTACATGCTTAGAAGTCAAAAATATGACACCTAAGAAAAATACCATGAAATGCATTGCTTTTGGGATTGCCGACTTACATTGTTGATTGGAACTCTGGTGTCCTGGGTCTCTTTTGACTTACCATGACAACTACATGTAGCAGATAATCTTTCAACAAGTGCAGAGAACAGTAAGTCTTAGAAGATACATTAGTGACAAACTGAGGCATGGAGGTCGGAATGGGGTTCACTAGATTGCAAATCTATTAGTAAAATTCTCACAGAACATAAAATGACAGTAAATATTGAATGATGTCACTAGGTGTGTTCAGTGTTGACATATTTTAACTGTCAACAGACTTTATTAATTGTATTAGACAATGTGCAAAATACTCCATACACTACAAAATACCAGGTATGGGGTGTTGTTTTTCATATATAATCTTCTGAGTAATCGTTTACCAGGAAAAATACTTGCATGGAGGATTCAACTGCTATGACCATTGAATTTCTTCGGGCACGACTGTTGTCTGAAAGATCTGTCTCAAGAACAGCAAGGCAGAGAGCTGATGAAACTGGCCGTAAGGGTTAGTGTAATAATTGATGTATATATGTATGTTTATGAACTACCCCCCCCCCCCCCTTCAACACACACACACAAACCCCTTCCAACCCAGTGTGTTTTTCCTTGTTTGCATGTTCTCCTTATCATAAAATGTTGGTTTTATTCCATTTCTTGTGCTATCTTATTGAACAAGGTAGTGGAACTCGAGGAACAGCTAAAGATTGTGTCTCTTCAAAGGAAGAAAGCAGAGAAGGCAACAGCAGATGTTCTTGCCATTTTGGAGAACAATGGGATAAGTGATGATTCCCAGGCTTTTGATTCAAGCTCTGACCAGGAAGCAGATCTTTCTGAATCTAAAGTTGGTAATGATTCTGTGAAGGAGGAAAACTCAGTTAATGTGAAAGAGAGAAGCAATGATATGGAAGCATTTTCGGGTTCTGAGGTTGAATCTTCTCCATCATCTCATAGAAGCTTGTCTTGGAAAAGTGGCAAAGATTCTTTGCATTCTCTTGAAAAGAAGAAACAGGTGGATTTTACTGGGAGAAGGCGTAGCAGTTTTGCATCAGCTGGCTCTTCTCCACCAAAACGGGCAGGTAAATCATGTCGCCAAATAAGACGCAGAGAGACTAGGTCAGCTTCCCTTCCTCTGTTACTCTCCATTCGTGGTACTATTTTTTTGTGTTATCCTTAGAGCTTAGGAAGAGCCATGGTTAAATTTCATGAGTTCTACTGGTATATAGTAAATTAACTATGACAAACCATAAGCATCTATATGCACATGGAACTTGTGAAAGGTCATGTTGGTGAGAAAATTAACCTTGATTCTCTACTCTAGATATCTCTCAATACTTTTTTGGCACCTGACAATTTCATTTGGCAATTGGCACCTTATATATTCCACCACCATAAAAGAAAAAGAAATGGAAAAGACAATTTTTTTTTTCCTTCCTTTGTTTTGTCCAATCAACTGGGAGAAGTTGTGTGCATGGAAATTTTTTGCATGTGCACCATCGACCGAATCATATCTAGTAATTTCAGAGCACCTCTCAAACTGCACAAGCACAATTTTGATTTTAGCATTCTTGCTTTTCATAGGAACGGTTCAGCTACAAGTTCAGAAGGTTTTCTTAATTGCTCTAACGGAGGTCTTCAGACCCTGAGGGAAGGGTCTCAAAACCATAAAGAGAAAGATTTACTTGAAGGTCCAGTATCAGGGGACTTGAAAACCCAAAGATTAAGCAATGGCCACTATTTCAATGGACATGGAGGACACAAGGACATGGAAAGAGCATTAGAACATCAAGCACAACTCATAGGTCGATATGAGGCAGAGGAAAAAGCTCAAAGGGAATGGGAAGAGAAGTTCAGAGAGACGAATGGCTGTCCACCGGTATGTTTCATCAGTTTTAATTCATAACCATTCATGCAATTGCATTTTTAATATTATCATGTAGGGTGTAGATGCTCCGTTAATATTGAGCATCCCACTTAAGAATATATAGTTTGTTTGCAATAATTATAATTGTGGGACTCTTGGTTGATTATGTTCCATTTGACCGCCATTCTCTTGAGGAATACTTGTGATGTGTTCTATTTAGTGGTACTTGGTTGGCCATGCTTGCAGGACTTTTTATGAGTTGCTATTACGTCACGACTGGTAGCTCATATCGTTGTTATAGTCTATCTATCTATCTATCTATTTCTTTTCCACTCATTATAAAAATTTGTTGTGTGGTAAATCTACACAACCTTCCTTCAAGTTGTCTACAGGTTGTAAAATTACACCTTCATGACTGGTGTTGAGTTCTTGAATCAATTGTTTCAAGATTCTTGGCTATTCTATTTGAAGTAAGACACCTTGTGGTTGGTTATTTTAAAGTTACTTTTAGATTTAGTGAGATTTGTTTTTGATTTTTACAATTAGCATATTCTTACTAAATACCAAGAAATTGATTATGGTGGTATGGTAAATATTTTTTACATTATTGGTAAAGCTATATTGGGAATTTTTAGATGCTAAGGTCTACAACTCCTAGTTTGAAAGGAAGTAGAAGATTAAATGATTTATTAATTAATTGGAGAAAATTTCAGCATTCGGAAAAGCAATATCGATGATCTTTTGATTCACAAGAATTGTTAAAGTGCATGAATGCATAGATGCTCACATTCCCCATTCATTAAAAACTTCAAACATACAAGCAAGTTTGGAACACAGGAAATTAGACGAGAAAATGATTAGTGTTTTAGCAAGATTTTATTTTTGTTTTTTTGTATCGTAAAATTTGTTTGGTTATATGATTCTAAAAACAGTTTTACGGAATAAAAAATAGTAGAACTTGTTTGGATAGTAACTAAAAAACAATGAAAATAGAATTGTGGTGGTGATGAAAGTGTTGTGGTGGTGGTGGGAGTGTGGCGGTGGTGGATGTGGTGGTGTTGGTAGTGGTGGAAGTGTGGTGGTGGTGGTGGTGGTGGTGGAAGTGTTGTGATAGTAGTGGTGGTGTTTTTTAAATTTTAGAAAGGTTTTCAAACATGCAAAACAGTCAAAACTTGTTCTCTAAGGTAGTGTTTGGTAACAAGATGTTTTTGTTTTCATTTTATGGCAAAAAAAAATAAAGATGTTTGGGAGTTGTTTTAGTTTTTTTTTACTACTCCGTTTTGAAAATAAGGCCAAAATATGGAAAACATCCAAAAGGATATTTTTGAAGACATCCAAAAAACAAAACAAGCGGAGGTTGGGAACACAATTTAATGAGGTCCAACCTTCGAGTCCAATTAATAGCAAACAAAATTTTTTTTACTCAAACTAGAGAAGCTCTGCATTTCTCATTTCCCTTTTCCCATTTCCTTTTTCCCATCTCTGTGCCTCTCCAACTCTCACCTTTGCCTCTTGCCTCTCACCTCCTCCTCTCTCTCTCTCGCTCGCTCTTGTAATTGTTCTTGTGGTTTAGGGAGGTTTTCGGTGGGGATGGTGGGGGGTTTTTTAATGGGTTTAGGGGTGGGTTTTAGGGGCTCTTGGGGGTGGGTTTCAAGGCTGTTGGGGGTGGGTTTTTGGGGCTGTTGGGAGTAGGTTTTCGAGGGTTTGGAGTTGGTTTTCGGGGGGGGTGTTGGGAGTGGGTTTTCGGGGGTTTGGGGTGGGTTTTTAGGGGGTGTTGGGTGGGTTTCAGGGGGTGTTGGGGTGGGTTTTTAGGGGGTTGGGGATGGGTTTCAAGTGTGGCATGGGGGTTTCAGGGGTGTTTAGGGTGGGTTTTTGTTGGGGTTTTAGGGGTGGGGGTTTCAGTGGTGTTGGGTTGTTGTTGGTGGGGGTGGGTTTTCAGTATGTTGGGTGGTTGGTGGTGGATTGCAAATAGGGATGTCAGTGGACCAAAGCGGGGGCGGAGGGTGTAGTCTCTTTCCCGTACCCGTTTTAAAAAACTCTGTCCATCCCCGGTTCACCCTGTTAACGGGTATAATTTTCATTTCTATTCCCGTCCACGAGTAAATTTCTAATCCCCACCCCCATCCCCGCTTCTCTCGTACCCGCCCAAGCCTAAGCTTAAGTCAATATAATCTAAAAAATTTTAAATAAATTTAACATTTTAAATAATCCAATAACATTCTAAATAATCTAACATAACATAATATAGCATAGTACCCCAAACATACAAATAACCCAAAATGATAAAAAATACAAGAAGGTACCTGACTACTTGTACACTTCCATGCTCTTTCAAAACTTTGCAACTCTTTAAGATTCTTCACCATCATTTGTACAAAGTCGGCTAGTACCCTACTATCTCCAATCATGAACAGATATCTAACTTGGAATCCATAAAGAACAGCATGCAAACAACTAACCATGCCTTAATTTTGATAATATAATAAAGTTTGCTTTTCAACTTCATTCAAAAATTAGATATTATTTTCAAACTTCACAATCAAACCCCCACCCAAGCACAGGAAAAAGGACAAAAGCATAAAAGAACTAACAAAAGGGTTCCCCAAACCATCTCAACCTAACACAAATAACAAATTAATAAGGGAGAAACTTTTTTGTCATGTAGCTTCACACCTGTAATTTAATAAGGAAAATAAAACATAAAAAATTATATGTTTTAACAGGTATAGCGGGGGCGGGGGTAAGAGTAAGTCCATCCCGCATCCCCGCACGGGTTTATACGGGCATCCCCGTATATGTTTACCGTCTAATATGTATAGTCCATCCTTGGTCCAAACGGGGTGGGTTTGGATGAATACCCATTTTTCCCTGGTTCACTGCCATCCCTAATTGCAAAAGGTTTGGGGGTGGGTTTATGGTGGGGTTAGGTGGTTGTTGGTGGTGGGTTTAAGTGGTGTTGAGTGGTAGATTTTAGGTAAAATGTCAAACATGTTTTTTATTTTTGTTTTCATGATTTTTTAAATGTAAATGACTATTAAATATGTTTTATATTTTTTAATTTTTATCACAGAAAAACAAAAACTAGTTTTATTTTTTTTTATATAAAAAAAACATAAAAACGAAAACGTTACTAAACGCACCCTAAATCTGCCCTTTTTTGTTCTCAGTTTTCAAAAAACAAAAATAAAAACAGCTGGCCAAACAACTTTTTTTCCAAAAAATTGTTTTCAAAAATACAAAAACAGTTTTTGAGATGCAAACCAAAGGGGGCTTTAGGTTCTACTCTTTGTTGTCCCTACTACACTCCTGAACATACAATCTCTCTTTTAGTTTTTTACATGGTGCCCATTGTTGGTATTTCCAGGAGTTGTTATATAAACCACAAAAGTAAGAGTTACCTGAGCAGAACTTCAACTTTCTACCAAAGTATAAATGCGTAACTGGAAACTCTTTAGACCAATGTTATCTAATGTTTCTTAAATGAGTGGAGCTGCCTGAGGTATTGCTGTATTCGTTTCGTACGCGTAATCGTACCCGTTTTTGTATCTGTACTTCCTAGCAGCTCAGGGATTCTTCTTGATGATATCTGGCGAACATTTTCTTTGGCAATGTTGTCCCTGATATAGCATCTCATTTATTACTGTATGTTTCGAAGGCCATAATTTAAGACTGCTACATTCAGACCTCTCAATGCTCGAGTTAGTAGCAGTGAGTCATGATTGATCTCAGAATATCTTTCTTCAACAATAACTTGATTGAAAGTGTGGAAATTTGATATGCTACAATTGACCTTTTCATAAATAAACAAATATTAAGTTCATGAGCAAAAAATTTTGTTTGTAATGATAGATTTCTTCACATTATGCATTACATATCCCGAAGGATGGACTTTTTCACAAAATTATACTATTATGTCACAAAGTTCCAAATCCTCCTTTGTGGCTGATTACTTTGCTCTTCTATTAAGTGACAGTAGACATATAATATGTATTTTTACATCTTAGTAACTGCTGATGTGAAATAAATTTCTTTACAAGCCTTAGTTATTATGTAATGGGTATTTTCATTTCTATAATTAGAGGTCAATTAGATAATAATATATAATATGAGAGGATTTAAGATCATGGCATATGCTCCTTAGTTGCCCCAAGTTACCACCAACCCGAGACATAAAGAGTGGTTTGATGGGAACTGAAGGAAAGAAAAATTAATACATATCATTGGGCAGCATTTGACATTTGTTACGTCAAGTACAGAAGGTGAAAAATGTTAACCCCAGTTGAACAAATAATTGCAAAGTAGCTAAGAATTTAGCATTTGTGATGAGATTTGTAGTGTGAATAAGCTTTGAAAGAAATTTTAAGGAAGTTAACTATTTTGTGTGACAAATTTGATGTGCCGCTACAGAATGGAAGAAGGGATTGGGCCACTGGGGTGGGTGTTCTTGTTCGGGCTGCAAAACTTATCTGTAGAACCTTGAGTTTTTAATCTGATGCCAGAACCTTTTCTGGGTTCATGTGTGAGGCAATTCCTTGGGCATTATTCAGACAGACCGCCTGAGATATAAACTTCACTTTCTGCCATTTCTACGATGCCCGCAACCCTGCCTCAAAAAAGACCAGTCATAAAATTCACTTCGATTTTGTGATATTGGGTATTCACTGTGTGGTCGTTCTGTCATTTTCCAGTACTAGTTATAACTCGTGCCTGAAGACACGATAGAAGATAATATTCGAATCCCTCCAAAATCGATCTCACTATATTAAATAATAATTTTTCTTCATTTCTTTGATTACATAATTCAAAATTTATTTTTACCCATTAGTTTCTTACAAATATTGACAATTTTCTCAAAATATGTAATTCGATAAAATTTTTTCAATATGTTTATATTATCATGTATGGATAATGTCTAAAATAAAAATTATGCTAAAAAATTAATCAAAATTAAATGATTGAACATGTGATAGAAATAAGTGATGTGATAATTTTGGGAGAAAAAATGTGTAGGTGATAAAATTCAACTTCCTATGTGTTTTATTATATAGATGTTGTCGGCAATTAAATTTGTCAAGCTGAAATCATTTTTTCCTTTCTCTCTATCATAGAATCTCAGCATGTAAAATTATTCACCTGTTTTTGCTGAAAATTTTGTATTACACTTAATGCGTTCTCTCCCTTAATCATGAACCATTCAGGATTCATGTGACCTTGGGAATCATTCAGATGTCACTGAAGAAAGAGATGAGATTAAGGCACCAGTTCCCAAGTGCTCTGCTGGGACAATCACCTCTCAAAACCCAGAGGCAAAGTTCGGGACTCTAGATACTTGTGACAGAGAAGAATCCAAAATTCCTAATGGCTTTCAGTCTCCACCAGAGTTTGATATGGGATGCTTACAGGATCAGAAATGCAGCAGTGCAATTGCTTATGAATCCACAGCCTCACATATGGCCAAGGGGAAGCATGATATGGAATATTCACAAAATTGCCATAGTCCACCTTTACATAATTCCCATCAATACTCATACTTGCAGGATACCGACAAAAACCAATCTGCACACACTTTTTATGCTGGAAGTTGCTTGAGCAAAGCAGAAGCTTCTGGAAGCAGAAATCAGCTTGCTTTGATTGTGCCTGACACTTCCGGTAAATTGGAATCTGTCCTGGAGGCACTTCAACAAGCTAAGGTATCATTAAAACAGGAACTCAACAGATTGCCTTTTGTAGAAGGTGGATCGGTTGGGAAAGCTATTGAAGCTTCTATTCCTGTTATGAGAAGTGGGGACAGGTTGGAGGTTCCAGTTGGATGTGCTGGGCTTTTTAAGTTGCCTACTGATTTTCAGTTCGGAACCACTACTCCAGCCAATGTCCTGGGTTCAGGCTCTCGACTAAGTTTGGCAAATTATTGTCCTGAAACATCTGGTGACAAATTCTTCTCCAGCCCTCGCATGGAGTCTCTACCAAGAGCGTCTTTTGACAATCGATTCCTCACTATTCCCACCAATCTTTACTCGGAGATGAGGCCACAAGTTCCTAGTCAGATGCCTATACCAATGTTTGGGCCTAGCTTGGATGCAGGTTTACCATCATCCGGTAGATACACCAATCTAAATTCCCACTTGAGCACAGGTCCACCCTCTACAAGTAATTACACCTATCCCATCCACCGTGACCTGATGCCACGGATGCCCTCTAATGGAGGACTTTCAAGACCCTTTCCAAGTAGGGAAGTTGGGGTACCTCCTTCGACTCAATTTTCTTTTTATGATGATCAACTTCGGCCAAATATGTACAGATAGTCGCATGCTATCAGCAGCTGCCAGGTAAATATCATTGCACCTGTACTAGAAGTCCAGAATCTGGTTTTTGTAAGTTTCGGAATCTCTTACGTTTCGGTTACTTTCTCTAATCGGATCGAGAATATGGGTATTTGTGGCGGGATCTATATGGGTGGTTGAGGACATGGCCTTGAGAGGTCATTTGTTGTATCTTTCATCTGGCGTTTGTGTATCACTGAAATAGAGATAAAGTTTGTAAAACGGATCCAAGCATATATAGTTCTCGTTATTTTGCTGTGGTTTTATTGGATATTCTGGTTGGTTGTTGGTTTTTTGTGAAAATATGTTGGATCTTTACACTGAACTCAACTTTTATTCCATGGTTGTGATATTTTAAACTTCCGAGCTACGGAGCTTGATCACAGGATTTGAGGCTACCTTCATATAAAGAAGAATGTGACAGTATGGCTGTGCTATCATAGGATTATAGGGTACAGCGAAGCAGGTGGTGTCATTTGAGAGTCTGGATTGAGAGTGCTTCCACGAGATGGACAGCCAGGACAGGGTGATTAGAGTTTGGTTGCAGACTTGTAGTGTGGTGCTATGCTAAGCCTCACCATATGGCCAGTTGCCAGCGACCTGGCCTGTTATCTCGGCTTCTCGTTGATCGAAGAACTGGGCCAACCCTCTTCCCGAATTGTATGTGGGCCTTACCTGTACCTGGACTGCCGTTGCTATCACAAACTAGCCCACAAAGCTGGAGTGTCAGGAAATATACTCGAGTCTGAAAGGGACTTTATAGCAAAATACCCCTCTCGGAGAGATGGAAGAAGTCGTCTCTTGATTGGGCTTGAACGGTGGAATCTGATGATACCTCGCATAGGCATCTAGGAAAGCATTTGTGACCAGTTATGACATCTGCAAATTGGTCAATTTTTGTATCATTTAAGCAAGTATCGTTGAGACTAGTAAAATTTACATAGACTGGCCATTTCTTGTTCTTTCAATTGGTCTTTGAAAGTCAAGGAACTTGTCCCTTGGTAGGTACCTGGTCCGTTGAAGCTGACCCGGGGGTACCCTTACTGGCTTCCAATTTTTCTTGTTTTAGACCTTACTGGTTGAAGAGGTGGTGATGCAGTATCTCGAATGAACTTCCTGGTTCAACTAGGATGCATTTTTTTTTGCTCCGAGCTCTGGGAGTCGATTGTTCAACTAAAGCTTTGAGCGCAGATCTTCGTTTCCATTAACAGCTATGCACTTTTTGGAGCCGGTGGTTGGTGAATGTGTGTTTGTGTGTGTGTGAAGAGAGAATGAGATACTAGCAAGGAGTGAGACTTGGAAGATAAACAACTTTGGCCCAATGTTCCAGCTGAGTTGTCAGACGATAATAGGATGTCTATTAAAACATGGACCCACAATGGAGACAAATGTGTTGAAGGACAAACATGAAGACATGGACTAAAATTAAGTTAGCAATTTGTTTTTTTTTAATCAAAGAGTGATTAGGTCAATTTATATGCATATTAACTGATTTTTTTCCCAGTTCAGTCAAGGACAAATCATCTACGTCGAGACTAGAATATTCATGATGGATAAATTTTTCATCACTTGGCCCAAAGAGAGATTGTTAAGATTTAAACTTAAGATGTCTAAGTTTACAATTCGTCCTTATTAACACTTGAGTTACCTTCGAAATTGTAGCAATTTGTTTCTTCATTCTAACTGCTCTAAATTTTTTTAACACTAAGTTGAGTTTTATTAAACTTACATCCTATAATTTCTATTAGATTACAATCTTGAAGAATAAACAGGTGTATTCATAACTAATTAATCACACTTTTGACTGGTTCATTGATTTCAAGGATGGATGCAAAGCGAGTCGATGAAACAAAAGAATAGGTTCAAGCAAATTAAAGAAATATCATCTAAAAAGATGATTTTAAATTTTGATATTAACTTCTAATTAAATAAAAAAATTTGTTATTTTTGACAGTTTCAAATTGCATGGTGCAGATACTCTCTTAAAAGTTTTTTTTTTGACCAAGGTGTTAAAGTTTTTTGAACCTATGTTTTTTCACTGCTTTGAAGAACGAATCGTAAAAAGATGTCACGAAAGGGTAGAGATCTGACCGGAGGGGGTAGAGACCCACTATGACGTGTTTTGTAATTTATTTAATAAAATAATGAAATAATAAAAAATTATTCTTGCACACAATTAATTTCTTTAAACAAAGACTCAAGAATTTAGACTTGAAAATAATTTTCCTAAAATAAAAATTTATAAAATAGGAGTAAAGGAACATCTTACCAAACTATTGATCAAGTCGAAGTTTTGTCCTTAAAGGTTGATTCGTGCCCCTCGAAGTGAATGACTTGGTGTGATAGGTCCTTGTTATGACAACCATCTAGAATTTCTATAGTATTATCTTCACAAACACGCACTTGTTGTAAAGAGTGTTTAACAACCCTCTCTTGATCGTTCCTTTTAGACGCATAAATGGATTTTACAAAAGAGAAGCAAACTTGTATCGGTAGAAGCAAAGAGAGAAAACCATCGAGTGGAGCCGAACTTCTCGTCTTAAGGTTGGAGGTTCGAATCTTAGAGTCCATATTGAAGTTCGGTGATTGACCGCTAACTAGGTTTGTTCCTGACAGTAATAAGAGGCATGATTTGAGACCTCATAATCCCACTAGTGAGGGCCATGATCGCTCTTTTACCCCACCCCTTTTAATGAGGCAAAAAAAAAAAAAACAAAGAGAGAGAAAGGATGATGGCTACTACCAGAGAAGCTACTAGAGATAATTCTAATGACAAAAAAAAGTGGATAGCTTACTATGTCAGCCAATTCCAATGGCCACAAAACAAGGAAGTGGGCCATGGTCTGGGCAAAGACAACGACCAAGTCATTGGAGTTAAAATAATCTAAAAGTGTAGGCCCAAATAATTGAAACACAAAAAAATAAGCCCAACAATCTCACACATGTTTCAAAAACAATTAAAACGATATAAAGAAGAACATGAGAAAGCACGCATCAATAAGGTACCACATAGACTTTAACCTTACCTAGAATAAGTGGGAGGAAGCCACTACAATAATGGTAGAGTTAGACTCTTTTAACCAAATTCTGTAATGTGAAATAACCAACTCACAATTCTCATACCTTTCTTTAATCAGGGTTATTCTCATATGCGGGTTGGCACCACAAATAATGGTCACACGCTTGTCTTGGGTTTTCATATGTGCTCTAGCAACTTGCCAATATCACATAGAAGGCCGCTCCACCTTTACACACATATAGGCAGCATCCATCAGGAGTGTGCTACAATTTAACACCCCATCCCAATAAATAGGGACTATGGATTTATTAAGAGCAATAGCTTAACCTCTTCATTGTAGCGGCACTGTCATGACACCATAAGGATAGACTCTTCACATTAGGCCTCAACACCTAAGTGGGATAACGACAATTAACAATACCTTTATGAGGCTGTCTGTGACTTTGTTTCCCATTTAATCCCATATGTGGAATCACCCACCATAGAGATTGGGTATCAATCATAGTCTCTAAAATAGGCAACAGTCCTATCCTTCTTGATTTCTTGCTCACTAGCTTCCTCGCTAGTGGCTTAGTCAGTGGATCTGCAAGATTCAACTCTGACCTAACATAGTCCATGGACACTGTACCATTCTCAATAAACTGCCTCACAATATTATGTCACATCCGATGTGACGGCTCTTCCCATTATATATTTTGAGTTATGGTAGCCTGACAATCACAAAGCATAATCACATGTGGAATTGGATTAGTAAATAATGATACATGAATATTCACTTAAAAATTCCTTAGCCATTTCTAAGGCTATTGATTCTGATTCCATAGTAGATCTCGCAATCCTATTTGCTTGGATGTTTCAAGAGACTGCCCTTGTAGCTAGTGTGAACACATAACGACTAGTAGGCTTTAACTCATTTGTATCAAAATTTCAATTAGCATCACAATAACCTTCTAACACATAAAGGTAACCATGGAAAGATAAACCATAATCAATGGTGTCTCTGAACTATCTTATTAGTCTAGATATTGCATTTCAATGATAATCACTGGAATTATGAGTATATCTATTCAATCTACCAACAACATATGTAATATCAGGACAAATATAATTTATCAAAAATATAAGGCTACCAATAATTTTGTACATATTTACTTTGTGATACACTATCACCATGGTTTTTCACTAAATGCACTTTAGCATCATAAGGAGAAGATAAGGGTGTGCAATCATAGTATTCAAACTTCTTAAGCATTTTCTCCACAAAATACGGTTGTGATAAAATGATGGAATCATTATATTTTACAATTATGATTCCCAAAATGACACTAGCATCACCCATTTCTTTCATATCAAAATTAGATGCAATAAATCTCTTGGTAGCAATCACAACATTATAACTAGTCTCAAATATAAATAAGTCATCAACATAAAGAAAAATAAAAAATAGCTCCATCATTAAAGCATTTAAAATGAATGTGATGAGTGAGTTTTATACTTATGAATTGAGTATTTTTGGCTTGATGAAATTGCAAGTTTTTAAATATTTTATGTTCTTTTTTATTTGTTTTGTGTGTTTTGATGTTATTTTGTAGGGATCATCATTTGGAAGGAAACCAGATCATTTAGAAAGAAACAATGTCAATTTAGAGTCTAAGTGTTGGATTTTTAAAGGCTAAGCAGCAAGGAAAGCTTTAGGCTTAAAAGGGTGCAGCGCAAAATCAGCGCCTAGGCGCCCACATTCTGCCCAAACAGCACATTTCCAGCGCAAAGCCAGCACCTAGGCACTTGTGTTGGCTCTTAACGTGAATTTTGACTTGTTTTTGACCCGAAATTGAACCCTAATGCTACATATATGCTAGAGTTTGAGTTGAAAAGGATATATACTGATTTTAGGGGCTACTAACAGAGGAAAAAACCAAAGAGTCAAAAGAAAATTGAAGACAAGAATCGAAGGAAGCGACAC